TGAAACACCAAAAGTTCCATAGGAACTTAAGGAAAAATTTTTTAACAGTGAGGGTGACAAAGCACTGGAACAGGCTGCCCAGAGAGGTTGTGGAGTCTCCTTCTCTGGAGATCTTCCAAACCCGCTTGGACGCAGTCCTGTGCTACATGCTTTAGGTGACCCTGCGTGTGCAGGGGGGTTGGACTAGATGAGCTCTAGAGGTCCCTTCCAACCCTGATGATTCTGTGATTCTATGATTCTCTGGTGGCTGCGAGGAGGGGGAAAAGGGGAGCAAGATGTGGCCCCAGAGCCAGAGGCTTCACTTAGCCAACGCTAGAAATTACTCCCCAGGTGGCTGTCAGCCCTCCTCTAGGGAAATGGGATACATTCGGACACCTGGGCGCTTCCTGCCAGCACATCTCTCTCGGAGATGTGGGGCAGCAGGAGCAGGGAGCCATACAAGTGTTTCCCGTCCTCCTTACGACGTGAGGGACAGCACTTTCCAAAGTTGGCTCCACATTAGCATCTACTGGCCTCGACTACCATTGGACTGATGAAGTAGAAAAAGGCTCTGTCTTCCCTTATAACTTACTTTTTTGACAAAACACACATTATTTTTACTTTCTTTATAAATGTTCACATTCATTTCCAAATTACTTACCCTCATAAAAAATATATATGAAGTATAATTAAAGAATAAAATTGCCGGAAACATGACAAAAACCCTCTGATTTATATTTCCATATGACACTGAATCCCTGTAAGGGACAATTCAATCCTTAGAAATAAATTACAATTAAATATTATTGTATTTTTGCATTTGAAATAGTAATCGCTTACACAGAATCACGGAATGCTTAAGGTTGGAAGGGACCGCTAGAAAAAAAAAATTTCCCTAAATTTCTTTAAAAGGAAAAGAATACACACACTTGGGGAAAAAAAAAGCCTCTTCTTGCATTATAAAAGTAATCACAGCATCACAGAGTGGCTGAGGTTGGAAGGAACCTCTAGATGTCATCTAGTCCAACCCCATGCTCCAGCAGGGACACCCAGAGCACGTGGCACAGGGTGACATCCAGGTGGGTTTGGAAGATCTCCAGAGAAGGAGACTCCACAACCTCTCTGGGCAGCCTGTCACCCTCACAGTAAAGAAGTTCTTCCTCATATGGAGGTGGAACTTCCTGTGTTTCAACTTGCACCCATTACCCCTCTTCCTGTCACCAGCCACCATGGAGAAGAGCCTGGCCCCATCCCCCCTACAATCACCCCTCAGGTACTTGAACATATTGATCAAATCTCCTCTCAGCCTTCTCTTCTCCAGACTAAACAGGCCCAGCTTGCTTAGTTTTTCCTGATGTGACAAATGCTCCACTCCCTTTATCATCTTCATGACTCTCCAATGGACCCTCTCTAGAAGCTCCATGTCCTTCTTGTACTGGGGAGCCCAGAACTGCACCCAATACTCCAGGTGCGGCCTCACCAGAGCTGAGTAGAGGGGCAGGATCCCCTCCCTTGACCTGCTGGCAAAGCTCCTCCTGATGCAGGCCAGGATCCCATTGGCCTTCTTGGCCACGAGGGCACATTGCTGCCTCATGGTTAACCTGCTGTCAACCAGGACTCCCAAATCCCTCTCTGCAGAGCTGCTTTCCAGCAGGTCAACCCCTAATCTGGTGCCTGGGGTTATTCCCCCCCAGGTGCAGGACCCTGCACTTGTCCTTGTTGAACCTCATGAGGTTCCTCTCTGCCCAGCTCTCCATCCTGTCTAGGTCTCTCTGAATAGCAGCAGAGCCCCCGAGAGTATCGGCCACTCCTTCCAGTTTGGTGTTATCTGCAAACTTGCTGAGGGTGCACTCTGTGCCCTCGTCCAAGTCACTGACGAACAAGAGCACCGGGACCAGTACTGACCCCTGCGGGACACCACTGGCCTCAGGTCTCCAGAGCTTGGTGATCAATAGGGGGTGTTTATTTAGCAGAAAGGACTCCCATGGTGCATGGATGTTTAAAACCCAGGTTGCTACTGCATCTCTGCAGATGTTTCAGGCACAAAGACCACACCAAGGTGGTCACAACAATGAGCTACTAGAACTTGTGACCCCTAAACCCACCTCTCCTTTCCCCAGTATTAGCTGCTGCAGTAAGGAGACCCAGGGGCTTGCATTGACCAGCACGCTGGGCTTCAGATATTTCAGAAGGAAACTTCAGGGGGGCAGACTTGCACACGCTCCTGGAGAGCCCTAACTTGAAAAGTCCCTTTCACAGCCCACCCCTCAGGCCTCTCAAGCAGCCTCTCTCACCACACTCCTAAGGCCACGCAGCCTTCAGCTGGACACAGAGCGGCACCCTCCCTCTCTCCAAGCACCTCAGAAAGAAACCTGTAGGTACCAATCCTGGAACAGGCTGCGCAGAGAGGCTGTGGAGATCTTCCAAATGTGCCTGGATGCCATCCTGTGCCATGTGCCCTAGATGTCCCTGCTGGAGCAGTGGCATTGACCTAGAGGATCTCTAGAGGTCCCTACCTCAACCACTGTGATTCTGTGATTCAATCCCAATTAGGAGGTGCGCTCCTCTGTACGGTAAGGAAGTGGACCATGTTGTTCCCTTGCTGCACTGCCTGTTGGGATTGCACAGCCTCCTAACACACTCCCAGGCTCAGCTGGAATGTGGACAGAGGCAGCGCTGGATGCAGCCATGTCTTTCCTGCTCCCTAATTTGAGGGAACTTTCACTTTTCAGCATCCATCAGCTTGCTAAGGGGGCATTGAACACAGAACAAAAATCTCAATGGTGCTTACCAAAGCAGGGCCCTTTACAAATATCACAACCCGCCTCTCTTTAATTTGAACCTGAACCACCTGTGTTTCGATTTCACTGGGCAGACACCCAGCCATTCTGCTTCTTTAATTCCACAGATACAGGTATGGCATTTATATACACACCTTTAAAACTGCTCCAAGTTAGTTATGCAGCTAAGCAGGCTGTTGTCCCTTGCTCATTTTCAGAGAGCAGAGTGGGAGATAACAGAAATTATTTCACCTAAATAAATCCCATCAAAAATATAAACTGCTTATTTCAGATAGTGTATTAAAATTATTTAAAAATAGGTACAATGGTTTATCAGAAGCCAGTTTTTACCTTCATTATTAACACTGGGCCACCTTCTCCCTTCTTCCCTTCTGCTCAAAATCTCACCACCAAGCATCATAAAAAACAAAGAATGCAAGTTATATTACTCAAATTGTTTCAAATTTTAATCAAGATCCATGTTGTGCAAAAGTTTCTCAGATGGTATGACAAAACACAACAATCATTTTGAGTGAGACTACATAAAAACATTTGAACAAGCCCAGCTGCACTTGGAGAAGACTGAGTAGAAAAGCCCAACTTTAATTAATATCTATTAGAGTTACTAATAGATAGGATTACTCAGAGCATTAGAGAACTCTTGCATAATTTCCCCCCTTCAGTTAAGGGAAAGAAAAGTTTTCCAGAAGTATGAAGCACTTCTAATCTCAAGGCAATAATTGAAAACTAGAAGTTCTTAGCATCTTCAAAAATAACAGCCAGATCAGCATTCACTAAACAAACTTAATCTTACAATAACGAACCAGTATGTTACCAGTCTTACCAAATATCTTACCAAAATGAAATTGATTCCTAACACTGGGACATGGCATTGCTTTGTAGACCAGTTTCCTGAATTGTTTCTCAGCTTACTGGAGGAAGCAAATAATGCAACATTTCATGGTTGGTACTGTTTTATTGTCTAATATTGATTAAAATATTTACATTCCTACTTTTTAATCCACAGTTTAAACACTCATACCTATGGCTTTTATTTTTAGCACAAGATCTTTGTGTCAAGTGTCAGATTTCATTTCAAAAAACCCAGGAACCTGATACCATATAGACAAGTCTTCTCTACATATAAAACCGGTCATTTTTTAAAATTAAAGATTCATAAAAGAGCCTAGTAGTAGGATGCTTTTTTTTTTACAGCTCCTGTTTACCACATTCTACTGGGCTTTTCCTATGTTAAAGTGTCCCTTTTAAAGTGTCCTACTGCTTCCATGTGGAATTTGTTTTATCTTCTCCCTCAACCCTCAATGCCCTCTTCCCCTCCCAATCTAAACTGAATGCAAATAAAAAAAAAGAAAAAAAAAAGAAAAAAAATCAGTATCTGACAATTTTAAGCAAAAATATAAAGCACTATAACATTACCTACATTGCCTTTAACTGCACTAGGCTCTTAAACATTTTAGGAGCTTTGTGGAAGTTTAATCAGTCACTGTTGAAAAGGCACAGGAGTTTTGTGCTCCAGACCTCCATGATTTTTCCCCAGCCTGGAAGTTCAGAAGTACCAATCGATAGAAAGCACCTCGAATAATAAGGAAAGCAAGGATCACTGTTAGGACACAGCACCGTTGTTTGCCTACAGAATTCACAGGTAAACAACTGGCCATTTACAACAGAACCCACCAGGTTTCAATTCTTCTGCTGCAGACACCCTGCAAATCTGTAATGACAGCTTGATTCTATGGCAAGAGGAAAAGAGGTCAATATACACCTGGGCATGGCATAACAGTGATACAGGCAATTTGTTATTGAATTCCTCACAAGCTGTCCAACTCTATGGTAGATCCTGTTCTTGGTACTACACGAATGGGAAAGTTACTTCTCATGTATGAGAGATATATAGTTGTACATGAAGAACATTAACTTTGGTCCACTTGCCCAGCTTCCTAGGGACAGCCTACTGAAAAGCTGATCACTAATGGTGCAAAAACCAGTGTAGAAGTTAACAAAAATAATTTGGTATTTCATTCCTATACCTGCACAATGTGGTAATCTGTCCTAGTCATCCACCTTTCCATGCTGTGTTTCTACTAGTTGTTGAGTTTTTAAGTCTTCAGCTTTTTCATGATCTTCCTTTTCTGCATCTTCTACTGGACTAGGCTCCTTCTCTTCTGCTTCCCCTTGATCAACATTTTCATACTCTACTTGCTCAAGGTGTGTTCCATCTATAAGTTCTGCCTGTACTTCTTCCATTTGTATTTGATTTACGTGCTCAACATGTAATTGCTCCACGTTCTATTATAGTCATTGATGTTACTGGTTCAGCTTCCACGGCTTCCACTGGGAGAACTTCTTCTGCCACTATTCGTTCTGAAATATTGTGCATCTCTTTGAGGTGCCTTCTCAGCTCGCTGCCTTGCATGAACCACAAATCACATAAGGTACAGTGGTTGGGTTTGTCACCTGTGTGTATTACCAAGTGGTCTTTAAACTGATCCCAGCTGTTAAACACGCTGTTACACACCTGAAACAAAGATGCAGCATGTTAAACAGTGCCAGCTGAAAAAGATCAAAGCATAAGATTCCATATCACAGCTTTACACAGGGTAGCTTCTTGCTATTTGGATTAAAAAAATGCACGTTGAGAGGTCAACGCTGTAAAGGCAACGACGAATGCACAGAATGCCTGCTTTTTGTGTCTGTGTTTCTTAAACTGTGTGTCACCAAGTTATACGTACGAGGGCTACCTACAGAATTTATGGATCTATGCGTTTCACCAGTTTCTTATATTCATCATGTGAAATCCACATACACAATCATACCCCAGTAGGATTCTGGCACTAGAATTTTGGGTGGAAAGCGATTTACATAAAAGCACTATATGATGAAATTATAGCACAAACTGGCCTTTCACTGAAGTTCTAGATGCAGTACCACTAGCCAACTTCTCATCTTTCATTTGTTTGTAGCATTGAATTTCAGCTGGATGGACTAAACTCTCCCTTTTTACCATTTCACAAAATATAAAAAGAGCAATTCCGGCAGATAAAGATCTCTGAAAATTGTATCCTTTAAGTCTTTTCCAGCTGAAAGGGCTGCCTACAGTGCAGATGCACTGTTTTCAGCAAGCACTGGCACCTTCCAATAGGCACCTTCCTTTAGGTGGCACCGAGGTAAACATCCTGGAAATAACACACACAAAGACATAGCAGACAAGGATGAGCTGCCAGGATGGAGGAGATAAGGGAGTGAGATAGACTTGTGCCTGGGGTTAAGCAACAGGCTCAAGAATCCTGCCCATGCTCGTGTTCTTGGCTGTAGAAGAAAGCTAAGAACCCACATTTCAACACGCCTCCGCTGCTGGCAAGTATTTTTGAAATGAACTGTTCCATCTCCTCCCCGTTTTCAGCAATAAATAAAGAAAGATAATACTCTTCTGACAGGGAATTAACACAAGAATCAGCTTTATGAAATGAAGATGAGTATCACCATCTTGCTGTTAAAGTCTGATAAAACCAAGCTAGTGATGCATTTTACCTACCCTCAGTCTGCACTTCAGAGAGAAGGAAGATGCTTTTACACTTTTAAAACACCAAGCTTACTGTCAAACACTCAAAATTAGTTAGTTATTACAGTAAAGCAAGGACCATCACTAATGCTTATGTACATAACTACCATTCCTGCCATAAACCTTGGCCTAACTCAGTACACAATATACAAAAAAGCACCAAAATGCTCAATAAACTGATGCAATTTTTCTTTCTCCTCTCTGTTGAGTGAGCTAAGTTTTTTGTTTATTGATCACTATTCAAACTTAGTTCTAGAGTCAGAAAGGTTTATGAAAAAGTTATTTAAAAAGGGCTGAAGGGCCACAAAGACAAAACAGAATATTCAGTTTGAAAACATTAAGCACAGCTTTTATCATATAGTAGTTCTTATTTTCAAGATCTATAGGCTTAAGTTTAGCATTAAGACAATTGTGCTCACAAGGACTAAGTTCAGAGTGGCATGACAACCAAGCGAGGTGAGAGCACCAGCGAAATCTCTGTGAAATGGTTTTCTAACAACACCAAGAACTTACTTATCTCCTACTGTGTTCACTACTTTTCATGAATGAGATGGCTACATTCTGTGAACAGGAACAGATCACTGCCTCACTTCTGAGGCAAATGAAGCTGATGCCCAGCTCTTTTCTTCAAAAGCAATTTAATCACAGAGCTGCTAGGTTCTGAGAACTGAATGAGTCCCCCTTAAGGGGGAAAAAAAAGTGTTATTTGAGATTGTAACAGTGTTGCACCACAAAATGGTAAATAAAAGACCTGAAGCCAATCTCAGTTCTCACGTTTCTCGTTTTTGAAAGCTGATTATTAAGAGCTAAGTGATATTCTTCTGAACAGCTTTAGAATGTCAGTTATAAATAGTAACTGAATATCTCAGCTATCCATTTACATCATTTATGCTTGCTAAGAGATACTGCACTTCATCAGTATGACTTGGAACAACTTTACAGAGTCAAGATACTGGGTATCAAACAGAGGGACAATAAAACAGGAAATAAAATAGTACTTTGCATTTTGGCCTTTAGTGAAGCATGCTCACAAGCAGCAAAGGCCTAGGTCACTGCATTAAGAACCTTGAAAAGGAAGAAGAAAGATCAGTAAAATGCAGCTAAACACTTACCTATCCATAAGCATCTCTATGATTAACAAAGTGTTATGAAGCTCCACATGTTAAATGGAACTACCTAGATGCAAGAACTTCATGTTATATGCACGTTATAGATGAGTATAATCCTTACAGTTATTTTACTGCAGTGGGCTTATGTCTCCCAGACACACTTGCACTTCTCACTGCCTTTCTAGCTCAGTATTCCCACACTTCCCCAGCACAGGAAGCAGATAACCAGCCTCAGGCCCTACTTCCACTACTCACCTGACATTCATACAGCTTCTTTCTTCCCTTTTTAGCTCCAGCTCCGGACTGACAGGCTGTCAAGTGACATTTGAGTGTGCTATTCCTGGCAAAACGTTCATGGCAGTTTGGGCATTCAAACGGTTTCTCACCTAGTAAGACAGGCACAGGGATTTATAAGCACATGTGAAACAACCAGTTCTCTGTCAGCTTTCCCTCTTTCACCTCTCCCCTTTGTGTAGGTTGAGAAATACGCTGCTAGGACTTGGCGAGGAAATATTTTTAAGAGGTGGCCAACTAGATTATTCTACAGAATAAGAGAAAGATATAATATATAGCCTTTTCTATGTAAATAAGTAAGAGGGCCAACCTCATGCAGAGTCAAAACTCTCATTTAGGGAGAAAAAAAAAAAAGACAATTTAACATATTTACAGATGCCAGTAAAAGTACAATTAGGTATTTATGGAACTTAAATAGTGACTTCATTAGAATATTTAACAGAACAGCAGCATATTTTGACTTAATATTTACAGCTAGAGACTCAGTTTTAGTAACTATACAGTCATCTGTTATTCAAGATGGAAGTATTTAAATAATAAAGTTTTATTTTTAGTAAGTATAACTCAGTTAATTATCAAGAGTTCCGATTTCCTGAAGCTCCATAAAAAGCTGTAAACTTCTTTCTTTTCCCCAGTCCTGTCATGCAACCATTAGTTTAGTCTCACCAAGCGAGATTTGCTTGCATTCTGAGAGGACATAGTCCAATATAGTGCTGGTCCTTTAAAATCTTAAAAGATACAGGGAAGACATTCTCCAGTATAGATACTTTTAACCCCCCAAAATATCAGAGTTCTTCTTTAAGAGCTCACACAATGATTTTTGTTTGCCTAATACGTAGGAAACACCACCTAATTCATCCAGTACCATAAAGAAACAATACTAGTATTTAAATTGGGTTTAGAAAGCGATAATAATAAACCCAGGTCTTTTTTTTTTTTTTTCCAAAGGAGCTCCCTGGCAGCATTTATACAAGGTATGCAAACCATCTATATGCCCATTTATTCACTTCTATGGATGATGTTATCTGCAGTTTGAAGAACACTTCCCATAAAACTTTTACCCTGATTAAATTTCCCTAAGTTGATATATACGTAGTATATAGATCAGTGCAGTTACAGAGTTATTAGCTTGGCAGCTTGGAACGCAAACTCCTTCACTTCCATCTTGGCTCATGTGAGTACACACACCTCATAAAGAGGGTACCTATTTATCCTATATATCACTCCACCAATCTATCTGTACATAATCAAAAGACCTGTTTTGAGATGTATTCTGCGGTGAAAGAGACACTGAACAACTCTGATTCCCTCTGATTTGACTTTCTGCTAGGGGATACAAGCTTTGTAAAGGATTAGAAAAGCATATTGAGAGTGGTAGCTTCATCCTAAGATTATCTTTTATACAAGTAAATTGTTCTTGTGTAAGATTAAACAAGAGATACTGATTTCAATGGATAAATGCAGCCTTGCAGAATTTGTCCTTCCTTATGATGTTAAGTAAAATCTCATTTATTCATTCACATAATGAGGAAAAAATAATCACAAGATCAGGCCAAAAAGCCTCCTCCTTTATAAACTGTGGAGATGATGCTGACGTGACATTCAAGGTGATTTGTTTTGGAGCAAGACACTGTCCGGCCAGGGACAGATTTATTCTGCTCTCACGCAGAGCCTACGAGCGCCAGAAGCTGCTCGAGGCTCTGTGCACGCGTGTGCAGGAAATTCCAGCTTCTGCTTTCCTCTAATGACACAAGAGAAAAATACCAACAGCCACATTAAAATATACCCAGCACCACTACCCACACTGATCGGCTGCCTTTTTTCACCATTTCTTCATCATTTGCTACTTTTCATTCTACTGCTGGTCTTGTAAATAAGCAGCAAGAAGATCACACACACTGTGGGACATCCTATGCTTGGCCTTTTAGTTTTACTTTAGTTTTGAACCAGCATTACACAGAATTCAGAGCTTGGAAAGTGTTCAGTTCAACGGGAGGGCTTTTTTTCTCCCTCCCCTGCCTTTCCTCCAAGGAGCTAAGTTGTTCTGTCCCCAGAACCCTTTGCTGCAACAGGAACCAACATGGTGTTATATATAACACCAGCAGTGTTATATATATCAACACCTAGGAGTCCCATACACAGATGCAAAGAAGTTCTCATTAAGAGGTTTTTACAACCAAAACAAGCAGCAAAAGAACAGGGCTGCTCTCCTCCATTAACGTCTTCCTGACAACTCATGACAGACTAAGAACATCTGGAGAATCAGGACCCACGTGCATTTTATATTCAGTTACTTTTATAATGCTCAGTACCTGTAGAGACAGTACAAACTTTAAATAAGATGAAGTAGGATGTCAACCTCCCATATGATAAAGAAGGGAGAAACGTGAGTCATTTTGTACTCAAAAGATGCAATCCAGATTCTAAAGAGGCAGATTTTAAAATAACAAGTCTACTACAATTGATAGAAATATTTTGCTGTGATAATTACCAAATGAACAAACAAAAAAAAAATTGTACAGGAGATATTCAGAGCAATAATGAAAGTTTCAAACAAGCTGGTTCATGATAAAGTTGTTCAATGGGTAATTTATGCCTAGTGCATTGATAACCATTTGCTCATAAATCCTCTAAACTGCATTGCATTAATAAACTCTCAATTCAGATCTTATTTCAACACACAAATATATTAATAATATATATAATATATATGTAATTGTGCAAACAAAGAGCAGCTCCTCAGTTAAGCCCTTTAAGATGTAAACATGCCTCAAGAACTGATTAAAAATAGCTTTAAAACTTAATATACTTGGGAAAGAAGCATCATTAGGGCTTTCTTTTTCAAAGGTGCCAATTTTGAACAGCTTAACATATAAAATAAAAATTGCCATGACATCTATTCCTCACAATTTATATGGGGACAGGGGGAAAGTAATCAACATTTAAGCTTAGCTAGAAGATAAATGGCACCAATAATGCTCTCGTGCCTCCCTTCAGCATATTCTCTGCTTCAAAATACACTAAGTGCAGAGCCAAAGGCACAAGTGCAAAACGGTGCACTTACCTGTGTGCTTCCGAAGATGCTCCTTAAAGTGCCCAAAATGGTCAAACTGTTTATCACAGTACTGGCATATATGTATTTTTTTGCCAGGTCTCTGCTTCTTGCTGGCGCCACCTTCATCGAGGTGGTAACAGGTGAGGTGCTGTTTCAAAGCACTCTCTCGTAGGTACCTTTTATTGCATATGTCACACTTGTAACTCTCAGTAGAGTGTGTTTTCATGTGTTCCTTAAAATGGTAAAAAAATTTAAATGAACGGTTACATTTCTCACAGTGGAATAAATTGTTCACATGTGACAGCTGAAGTTCCACAATTTCAATACCTTCTACCTGTTTGCACGAGGGATCAGTTGCACTGTCACCTTCTTCCTGGATCTGGCATTTTCTCTCTCCCTGACGATACTTGCTGGTGATATCTGCCAAAAGAGCCAACGCCGATTCATCTGACGTACCAGTGGTCTGGATGTACTTTATGGATTGCTCTGCAGTAGCCACTTCTTCAAGCGTTTCCATGCTGTCATCTTCCACTTCGATTGTCCCTTCAGCAATCTCAACCTCAATTTCAACAGGCTCTGATTCTGCAGATGGCAACATTTCTGTGATAACATTAGAGGTTTCAGCTATCTTCCTCTTTTTTGGTTTATTTTTACCTTGTGTTTGATTTGATTCTAGAGGTGATGAATTTTCTTTGTTCCTGTAAAGCATTGGCATAAAAATGGTTAAGCTCCACCACCACTTACCCAACAATTCCTGCCCAATATTGAACATATTGTTCAATCACAAATTTACCACAAAGCCATAGCCTACAATACTTGCAATATCTGCCAGCCATGTCACTTTCCACTGAGTTCTGTCCCAAAAAATGTATCACTGATATTTTAAGCTTTATAATTCCTACTTGAACCTTACTGTAGATGATGCCACAGAAGTTCAGGATGCTCCAGGCTAAGGAACAGTGCTGCAAAATGCTGGCAGCCCACTCTGGTACAAAGATTCCTGACCTGGCATTTCAGTGTTTAGGAAGACAAACCCCTGAGTTTACCTGATTTCAAGTGCTTTGATTGCTTCTAACATCTGTAGATACTCAGCTGCTTTCCAAACATCGTTTGCCTCTTCCTCACCTTGGACCATTAGTTTTGCTGTATAGGTGAACTCAATTAGGTGACGAAATGCCATGTTACTTACACCTGTCCAGAATCAGGAAAAAACAGTTTCAGTTAGCAATTCACAGTTTTATCTGCTTGCCAAGCCTTGTTTTTTTTTTCCTGCCCAGCATTATGCTCATAACACTTTGGTTGCCCATTTCACAAAGCTGACATTTGTGAAAGGTCACAGATTTCTTAATCCAATATTATAGAAACATAGGAATCCAGCAAGTATCTAAAGTCAGGATGCCAAAATCATAATAAAGAATAAAAAAAAAAGCCCACAAAAATCAAAGACCATTCATTTAAGCACACAGAAATATCTCTGTCCAAGAGAGCTCTGAGCAGCACGTGACTGCATGCTGAAGTGCCTGCCAGGGAGGTAGCGCTCCTTCTCTCTCCTGCTCTTCATCCTACCAAGGCAACTGCCACAAAGCACCATTGGCATCTCTCTGGTTTAACCAGTAGGACTGTTATAAAGGAAAAGGTTCATATATTGGGCTGTCCTAAAAACATATAGGGACTGCAACCTCTATTATAAATGTATACAAAAGGAGAGAATAGAATTCCCCTTCCAAAAGATTTATGTTTTCTTCAAGAGCAAGCCTTAAGAAAAGTCCGGAACCAATAATCAGAGAGCCGACTTTGCAACCAACCACACACGTTGGTCTGTGCCACCAAAACCGCGCTGGTTTCCAGGCTGAACACAGACCATAGGTTATTTGCATGAATCAAATTACCTTCTATCTCCACCAAAGGTTCCTGAGTGAAGTCTTGAAAGAATTTGTAGAAGAACTGGCTACAGGCAGCAAGAACTGCCTTATGAGCTTTGAAATGGTGACCTAGAAAGAAAGACATAAAATTTCAGTTTAGGATAATACCCTCCTTATTCACAGTAAAGGATAATCAAAGATGCAAAATAGCTGCAGAAGACAAAATAGTTACAGAACAAGGCTAAGAATTCATTCTAGAAACACAGAGTGACATGGTGCAGCACCTTGCAATGTGGGTACTCGTGCAGATAGCCTGTCCTTTCTCGTGCAGAACCTTGCCCACATCACTGCCCTTGTTGAAGCTCTGCAACCCAAACGGCTGAACTAACTCACTGCAGAGTCTCTCTTTTCAGATATTTAAGCTATAGGAAATTCCTGGGAGAACCTCCGCCTTTTTTTATCCAAGTTGTCCTCCGTTTCTACTGCACTTACAGACCAATATATTTCACCATCATTCAGGCAGTCCAGACACCTCTGCAGTTCTGCTCTGTCCTTCCTGCTCCCCGTGCTGCGTGTTCCCCTTTGCTGTGCTGCCTTCCCCTGCACAGACCTGAACTTTCATTAACACTCCACAGGGAACAGATATGAAAAACAGCCTCATTTAGAGTCGCACAAAAAATGGTTTTGCTCACCCCAAAGATTTGCTAATGCTACAGCAGGAGCAAACATGCAAAGTTTTGAGCAAGCTCTGCTACTGGAACTATGGTGCAGGATTCCAGGAGAGTAATCTGGTTTGTTTCCCTGTTCATAACCTAGGACCTTCGTCCCTCAAGCAAGTTCTCGCTATCCTTTTGAGAGTCACCTGGTTTTACTGCAGCTAAATCTGTCCTGTGGACAGCTTACACACATCTGAGGAGTATGTAATCTAATAAAAAAAAAAACTAAGCATAAAACAAAGAAACAAGAAGTTTGTACAAGCTTTCTGCATGCACACAGTTGGCTCAAGCTAGGGAGAAACAGTTTAATAATGTTTTAGAAATACTTAAGACAATATTTTAAATATAGTACAGCAGTTTCAAAGCAGGCTTTTATCTGAAGATACTTGGCCCCTTGTTTAGAAAAGCAGAACTTTGCTATAACCACCTACAAACTCTGTTCACCCCAAGCTTCTGGGAGTAATGAAGGAAGTCTGCATGCAACTTGCAGAGCTGAACACAACCAGGAGACAGGAAGGGTATTTTCTTGGGTCTGCTTTAAACTAACTCAGTTTGACAGCTTCCCAGCTCGCAACTTCACCAGTTCTCCGGATGCCAACTGATTCGCGGGCCTGCACGTACCATCCACAATCAGAGTGATGTCTGTAAACTGGTCCTGCTCACGCTGTTCATTCAGTCTATCCAAAATAACTTTATAATGTTCTGGGAACTCCTGGATGCATTCCATTGTTTCTTCGGGTTCCATGGCAAAAGGACTTGTCTACAAAAGACATGTTAGCAGATTGAGAACTCTGTGCCACTCAGGAAATATGATGCACAGCCCAATTAGCATACAAACACAACTAGCTAGATTTCTTAATAGACAACAATAGGCACACAGAATCGTTTGCCTGATTTTAGCTGGCAGGTAGGACGTACTGGGATTAAAGTAGAGCCTGGACTTGTTTGTGCGCAGAGATCACCTGAAATTCAGGTCAGTACGCAAAAGGGTATCTCTTTCTTCTACAGATTCAGCAAAAAACCCACCTTCCTCAAAACAGGTAACACATGAATGCAACAGCCTCACAGCTAGCTGCCCAACAGTATCTCAACAGCATGTCAGACTCTTCACACAACTACTTCATGCAACTCTACAAACGCATTTGATAGAAGAACAGTTCTTGAAGTTTTCAAATTTAACCACGTTTTGTATTTAGTTAACACAAGATATTTACTTCCTTTCAGTAGGCACTGAGACAGCACATCCCATTTGGGCGTACCCAGGAACTGCCAGGGATTTGAAGCGCTGTCACACGCAAGAGCAGGAACATTCCGTTCACCCAGCTCACCTCTCCCCTCGCAAGGTGAACTGCTCTCTGCCAGCCTCGTGGAAGAGGCACACAAATCCCAGGTTTATAACGTGACAGGCCCCGCTAGGTAACTGCGGTGCCGGGGGGTTGCGGCGGTTCTCAGGGCAGGCAGGAGCTCCGTGCCGGGGCAGGCGCACGCAGGAGCTGCAGCTGCTGCTGAGGAAGCTCAGGGGAGAGGCCAAGCGTTCGAGGGAAAGCACTTCCCAAGGGAACTCCAGCAAAAGGGCTCAAGGCTTCCGCAGCCGCCCTTCAGCTCCCACGTCCACGTGCCTCCCGCCCTGAGAGCGCCGCAGGGGAGGCAAGGCTCTGTGGACCTGGAGAGCCCGATTCCCCAGAGCGGCTGCTCAGATCCCGCCTCACTTCCAACAAATACACTGGGATCGGCGGAAGCAAAGAGGAGAAAAACCAGCAAATAACCAGAGGCAAACACTTCTTTATGCAGAGGGAGCTGCAGGACTCCACAGACAGCCTCTTCCTCGTACTTAAGGAAAACTCTCCCGAGCAGAACAGTTGTTTTGCAGAAGGTGGGAGGAGGGAAGAGCAGCAGCCTTCCCGTATGGAAGTTCAGTTCCATCCGTCAGCCACACTCTGCTGAGCCAGGCCAAGGGAGACGTCAGGTGTAGGGATTAAATAGTTAATGTAGAGTGTACTAATGGGGATTAAATAGTTAATGTAGAGTGTACTAATAAGCTAGTCAATACTTAGTCTCAAAATGCAAGGACTCTTGATAA